GCAACACTGAACATTGTTATAAACACAAGTGGTTTCCACCTCGCATTATAACATTTTTCAAATGTAAACTCAATTTTATTTAACTTTCAATCATTTTTTTTTTGCTACTCGGATTTCTCTTCTAATCTGCATCTCAGAGCAATATTTATTTATTTTTTGAGTATTATTAAGGATTCTTTGAGTTGTGGCAGAACTCTAACTCAAACTGACTTAAAGCAGTAAACTTTGAAACCAGAAAAAGTAAAACAACACCATTGTGGGGGTGGGCCTAGAGAGCAATAGCTAGGGGAATAGTAGGGTGTCAGGTATCTGAAGGGGGGAATTGGTAAAAATGGGAGATGGGATTAGAGAGGAGGCAGTGAGGTAAATAGAGAAGGAGTCAGGAGGGTAAAATAACAATAAGGGTGTGTAGGAAAGGCCATACAGAATCATATATGAACTATCTACCAAAATTCCTAGTACTTCTAATACATGCAAGTCTATTTGTGTATATATACAGTTTATATATGAGAATTTCCCATCTGGGTTGGAATCTATAACCACCAGTTTGCTAAACCAGCATAATCCCTAACTACACTCTAAATATTTATATCTAAGTATTTATTAATTTAATTTATTCATTATATATCTAAATATTTATTACACAGATAAGTGTAGACCTCATCCATCATAAAGGAAAGTTCTCTTACCAGATGGAGACCTTTACAAAAAACCCATGCTAATCAAGATGCAGCGTTAGGGTGGCCCATTCACATGAATATATCTACAACAAAACTCCTGCACCTAACACTCAGAGTTCATTGAGAAAGAGGGTCCAGAAAGACTCTAAGAGCTAGAGAAACAGGAAGTTTTGTGAGATGACATCCCCTAGGGATGTCAGAGAAATCATACCCATATAGTCTCATCATCACGGCTATGCAAGATAAACCTTGAGTTCTGGAATTTATGGTTTTGTGTTCTGTTCCCAGGTTTGCCATGCATTAGCTGTGTAACTTAGAAAGTAAATTAAACTCTTTGACCTGGAGCTGGAGATAAAGATTCAGAGATGGAAGGAAAAAGAAACAGTGTCTGGCATTCATAACTACATAGTTAATTGCAGCTAATTAAAATGAAATGGATTCACCCACTAAAGCAATTGCTTTTATTTTATGTGTATGACTGCTTGCCTACATACATGTTTATGCACCTTGTGTGTGACTATGCCTGTGGAAGCCAGGAGAGGGCACTGGATCCCCTGAGACTAATATTACAGATAATTGTGAGTTGCCATGTGAGTTCTGGGAACAGAACCTCGGACTCTGGAAGAGCAGCCTGTGCCCTTAACTGCTAAGCATCTCCCCACCCTGACTTTGGCTACATTTTACTTATAATGCTGTACTCAAGGATGTTCCTGTGAAATCCTGCCCGCCCTCCCGCCCCGCCACAGTGAGAAAGTTGCAGACTGCCAAAACTCAATTTCCTCATTTGTACAGTGAGTGAATTACTTAGTTTGACTGACATGTCTGCAGAGAGACTGCAATGTGCTGGGAACCTTTCTAGGCTTTGAGGATTTGAGCGTGGTTAAGATAACAACTTATGCTTTTTCAGAGCAATCCGGACTAGCTGAACATAGCGGACAATGAGGAATACTGAGAATTCAAGAACAATTGCAGTGGGTTTTTGATCCTACTGCATGTACTGGCTTTGTGGGAGCCTAGGCAGTTTGAATGCTCACCTTACGAGACCTGGATAGAGGTGGGCAGTCCTTGGGCTTCCCACAGGTCAGGGAACCCTGATTGCTCTTCGAGCAGATGGGGGGGGGGACTTGATCGGGGGAGGGGGAGGGAAATGGGAAGCGGTTGTGGGGACGAGGCAGAAATCCTTAATAAATAAATAAATTTAATAAAAAAAAAGATAACAACTTATGGAAATTTGCGCTGACATGACAGAAACAGAACACAGATGAGAATGCAGCTGACTAGAAGAAATGCATGTACCAGAAAGTAACCAATACAATGTAGAGGACAGGAATTTTCTGGAAAAGAGGTCTGAGATTTTATACGTTGAAAAAAAGACTTCCTGGGGAAGTGACATTTGAGGTGAGAGAATAATTTTTGTTGAATCCACAAAGAGGAAACCAAAGCAGAGTTCTTGGAAGGGGGGTGTCTACTTTTGATGTTCAAGAGAAATGGCACAGCTGCGAGTGTGTGGGCAATAGGATGGACAAGCTGAGTTTGCAGGGAAGCTCAAGCCAGATCGCATGTGTGTATAGTCAGATTAGCTATGACGACCAGTTTAGATTTCGCTGTGAGTGATTGGAAGCTACTTAGCTTAGTTTCTGTTCTACTGCTGTGAGGAGACACCATAACCAAGACCACTTATACCAGGGAAGGGTTCAACTGGGGCTTTGCTTACAGTTTCAGAGGGTTAGTCCATGAACGTCAATGGTAGCGGCTAGGCAGGCTTGGCACTGAAGCGGTAGCTGAAAGCTCACATCTGATCAATACGTTTCAGGCAGAGAGAAATAAGATAGATGGGGCCTGGTGTGGGCTTTTGAAAACTCAAAGCCCATCCCCAGTAGCACACTTTCTAATAAGGTGACAGCTCTTAACCCTTCCTAAATAGTTCCACTAAGTGCGAACCAAGCAGTCAAACATATGAGTCTATAGTGGTCGTTTAAATCACCACACTACTATAACATATGCATACAAGAAATTGTGAGACTTACATTTTTTTTTTAAGAGACAGGGTTTTCTCTCTGTAACTTTGTAGCCTATGCTGGCACTCGCTCTGTAGAACAGGCTGGCCTTGAACTCATAGAGATCTGCCTGCCTCTACTGCCCAAGTGCTGGGATTAAAGGCATGTGCTACCACCGTCCAACTTGTGACTTATATTTTTAAATTACTGACATGCTAGAGGGGAGAGGAAGTGACAGTGACTGTCAGTAAGGAAACCAAATCAAGAGTGTCGTGGTTTAGGGAGAGAGGCGGAGATTTCAGGTAATGTGATTCTGGTTTTGAGCAAGGGGGGGGGGGGATAGGAAAAGAGGAATGAAGATGATGTTTTCAAGTGGTCAGAATGGATGGTTTGGCTATTGGATGGAGGAAAAGAAATTCCTTGTGAGTAACTGAGTTTAATGGTGGAGTGATGAGTTCAACTGGAAGTGTTTTTTAATCGTCCTGCATGAGATGTCAGGTGGGCAATGAGAATCTGGGAATAGCCCACAATGGAGATCAACTTCGGGTGCCTATAGTGAACCTTACACACACACACACACACACACACACACACACACAAACATACATACCACCTGAACAGATATGATCACTCCAGGAATGGTTTTACAGAAAGGAGGGACCCTGCTACTCAATAGTAAGGGCTTTGAACTTGTATATTTCAAATAAAATATTATTTGGCTTGACTTCAAAATGGAAGGTAATGGTGGGCAGAGAGATGTTGGTTCAGGCTGTGCGTGTATTTGTGCATTTGAGGCCCTAGGATCCTGCAGGTGGGGCCTTCCCTTCACTTGCCACAACCCTAAAAATTCTAGGTCTGTGTTAGACTTAGAAATTCTAATAAATACTAAATACTAAAAGCAAAAGGCCTGCCCTATGTCCTCCCCTCCTCTCACGGTTGACCATTTTCTTCCTGATGCTACCCAAGGCATCTAAAGTCTTAGGTTGAATTTCATGGTTCTCTTATGCAGATAAACAAACCTGGAGATTCAATTAGAAAAGCCACAGATGGAATTACAGACTACCAGAGCTGGAAGCTAACCCAGCCATGCTTTCTTACGATCTCTCCCGTGCTCTGAGACGTTAATGATGATGGTGCCTGGACGGAAAGGGCGATTGCCCAGGGTAACCTGGAGAGGCAGCTGGGCTCTGTCCCTTGCATCCTCTAGTTGAACGTGTGGTGGAACAAATAGGAAGCAAACCTTAAAGGTTCTTTCTCATAGGAGGTTAACAGAACTAACTTGGTTATGCGAGAGTTGTGTAGGGGCTTCTGAAAGCCTCCATCCAAGGATCTCCCAGTAATCAGAAATTTAACTTTCTTTACGTGGATGCTAGGATTACTTAGCCTAGAAACGACAAGTGAGCCTTGGAGTCCTGAATATCTAGACTCAAGATTCCTGGACTGGGGTTAGGGAGATGCTCAGTCACTAAAACATTTGCTACAGTAGCATGAGGACCTGAGTTCAGATCCCTGGCACCCACGTAAAAGCCAGTTTGGTCTGGGGCAAGGCAGAGATGGGGATCCCGGATGTTTTCTTGCTAGCCAGTCTAGCCGAACTGGTGAACTTCGGGTTCAGGGACAGAATCTAAAAATCCAAGTTTCAGAGTGATAGAGGAGGCTGCATACCGTCGAACCCTGGCCTCTACATGCATGCACACATACATGAATGTGAGCCTGCACTAACACACACAGATGACAGACAGACGACAGACATAGAGAGTCTGATTCCTGGACTCCCTAGAAAGTATATTTGCCTGTGCATGCACACATTTTCTGTTTCTGGCCAGAAAGTTAGTATTTGCTGGATTATCAAATACCCAACTTTTGCTGTTTATAAAAAGTAACAAACCTGAAAGACCTCTTAGGTAAAAAAAATACCTGACCATTTTAGACCACATACTGTTTAAATTATAGCAGCGCAGTTACCTATTTTCACTCGTTAGTGTATTAAGACAGATCATAGAAATAAGCTATGTTTCTGTGAAGAACGAAGCAAAACAAGTAAGTGGATTAGTACAGAGTGAAGAGAAGTAACCTGTATGCTTTCATCCCAGGAGATCAGTGGAACAGAATCTTTCTGTAGCATTCAGCAAAAGTGCCTCATGCCCCCCCCCCCACCTCAGTGTGCTGGTAGTTCTTTGATATAGCACTGGTTATTAAATCATTCTACAAAATGAAAATCCCAGTCAATAGAAAGCAATACTTGCTTGGCATTTTCTTCCTGTAATGAAGACCTTTATTTTTCCACGTTGCCTTCCTGCCTAACGTCTTATTTTCCTTGCAGGATCCTGTGGGCACTGACATCCAGCACACTCATGCCCATTTCCTGTAATGGACAAACTTGATGCAAATGTGAGGTATGCTACATTTCTGAGTTTATTGTGTGCTGACTGTGGGATTGTGTGCTAGGCAGCCTCTGCAAATCTGTTGTGGTGGTGGAATTGCAAAGCCAAAATGGATATTCTCAGCTGTTTTGTGAATAAACCATGAGTACGGTATACTGTTTGATTATTAGTGCTTTGTTACTATACGCTTAAATGATGAAAACCTAGCTGTTAATGTTTGAATCAGTAGACACCAGTTAAAGGTACATAATCATTTTTGCAATAAGAAAAATGGTGCATTTAAGCAGAAGCAATGCTCTAAAGATGGTCTATCTGTAGCTAAATTTTAGATGTCAATTCAAGTAGCTTTGTCTTGCATGACTTGGTTGGCCTACTTCCATTTTCAGCCCAGGGCATCAGATGGTGGTTATCTGATACCAGTTGTAGTGTTCTGTGTGGAGTTATGTTAACCTAAATGGTTTTGCTGGTGTTGTTCTTGTAATTTTCTGTAAGCCTTGGGGGATAGGATGTTCTTCCTAGAGGTGTATTATGATTTATTTGGCGTTACCAAACAGTGCGAAGAAAGTTGCACTTAAGGCCGCTTACGCGGTCTGCTGTTACAGCACTCGAGGGTGAAGATTACCCACGGGGATAATCTTGAGAGTTGGAAGGCATCCTAATGTCACATCCCAGGAAACAATACTTTTTCTCTTTCATATGAGACCAATGGGGAAGTATGTTCCAGGTGTCAACCAGGGGTCTGTCTTCTGGTTTGCTGTGGCAGAAACTCTGACAGCTGGCTTGACAGGACCTCTGGCTTTCTCTGACTTGAGTGCACTATCTGCCAAAGTTGCCCCGTCATTCCATGAGGGAATTCCTGAAGGGCAGAGAGGGTGTCTCACAATAGAGCAGAGCATCCCTGGCACCTGCTGAGTATTGACTAAAGAGCCTTGATGAGCCAGTCAGTCATCAGTGTAGAATACATATTTCAAATAGCCTTGTGTTCCAGTCCACCTAGATAGAAAAAGGGATAATTTAGCAACACTGTATTTACGCTCTCAGTAGAAAATATGGTGGACTTTGTTATTTACCCAATAGTAGGTAGTTTGATGTCGTTCTAAGACTCCATGTGGAGTTTTAAACCTACTGGCGTGTGTTTTACTTTCCTCTCAAAGCTTGTGAGTTTATTTATGCAGGGAAAACATAGTAGGATACAGAGGACATCGGTTTTCAGTTGTTAACCAAAATTCAGAGTGGGCAGTAGTGATAGTACAACATTACAAAACAGCTTTAAGTTCTCAACGTTGGATCAAATGGGGTCAGTTGGTTAAAACACACCACTGGGGGTGATAATTAAGACACCGTGATCTCTTATGTTGCTAGCTTTTAGACATTTATTTATAGCAGCATTAGCTGTGGATGGCAAAATATGATTCTATTAAGTGAACATTAGCTGTTCTCCTGGGCTATTGTGAAACAATGGTGTGGGATTCAAGATGATCTCACACCCCAGAATGTTGTCTGTGGACTGTTCTCTCAGTCCGTTTTCTAACCGGATCCGATCAACATATGTTCGTCCTTACCCACTCCCCCTCTACCCACAATATTAGTAACAGGCAAATGTCATGGACTTTCTATTCATTTCCTGCTCAGTACAGCCTCTGAGTGTCCATAAAAAAAGGACATTTTGGCTCACACTTGCCAAATTGTGATACATACGTCATTAGTAATTTACAATGAACTTAGGTGATCTTTATTTATTACAGAGAGTAAAATGAATTTCCTTTTATATAAATATATTTAAATTTGAAAGTGAGTTTCTGTAAAGAAAATTATTATTAATAAATTAACGTAAATAATCACAATGGTTCAGTATAAATGATGATATTCTAGAATGTTCTAGGTGTCACTAGATAGAGTAAATTTTACCCCTTTCCAATTGCTGCCTTCAAATGGAAAACAAATACATAATGAGGTGAGTGCTGAAAGTTCTAGGTTCTGGCCCAAGACAGGAATTCTTTTACTTGTTCTGACAGAGGAAAACCAGTGACGGGGAGAGAAAGATAGAACCAAAAGAACATCTGTGCTCAGATGGGAAGTGGCTTAACAACCGATGGTCTTGCAGCTATAACAGACATTGAGATTAGATATACATATTAGTGGATATGTATACCCTCACTGATCTCTCTCTCTCTGTCTCTGTCTCTCTGTCTCTGTCTCTGTCTCTGTCTCTCTCTCTCTCTCTCTTTCTCTCTCTCTCACACACACACACACACACACACTTCACAGTGGTATGTGTATTGAAGTCTCCTAGGACTCAATCTTTTAACAACATTAACTTGCAGAAAATTGGGTGTGGAATGTTTGTATTGTTGGATGTATGAGATCATTGCGAGCTATAATGTTGATTTGTGTCACTCCATCTAATACTTGAACAATTCTAGGAGCTACATATCATTATTATCATATACATCATTATTATCTACTTTACAGTGTATATCAATTAACAAATAAAGGTTATTTATGCTTGGGGTCATTAAATACTGTTTTCTTTTATCCTATAATGGTTTGGTCAAGAAGTTTATGGTGTGTGTGTGTGTGTGTGTGTGTGTGTGTGTGTGTGTGTAAGCTAAAGAGAGATCTGCGGTTACATTTCTGTCTGGGTAAATATGGAAATATAGTTTGGAAAAGTGAATGAACACCCCAAAGAATCAGAGAGGGGTGACATCGCAAACATCTTGGGAGAAATTTCAGAAATAATTCTCACATTCATGGATGGTTAAGATTGAGGAACCTAATCTAATCAACTCTCACAAAACATGAAGGGATGGAGAACTCTTTGGTTGAATTTAGAGCTAAATACAAAGTCTTCCAGTTTGTCAAACCACATTGACTGCTTCAGCTTTTGTTCATTTGCTCGAACTGAATTTGCTTTTATGGCTTCGTCTTTGCAATTATCTATCTGCCAGAGTTCTCGGCTAGCAGCTTCGGGTACTAACCCTGGTAAACATAATCAGAGCTAATTTGGGACCAGCTATCATGAAGTTTAAAAAGTTAAGGCCACAATGTTAGAGGGCCATGTTTTAAAATGGGCAAAGACATGAGGAATGTGGAAGAAGCCCTATAGTGAGATAAGCAGTGAGCCACGTTCTTTGTGCATTATAAGAAGAATAAGAAGATAAACACTAGATCTTGATTGTGGAGGCATGAACTGCAGTGCAGATGCTTTCTCCTGAAGGCTCTCCAATAAGAGCAGGGTTGTAGAGTGGCCTGAGTCACGATGAAGCACCGCAGTGACTCAGGACTGGAGAGCAAGTTCTGACCTTTTCTTCCTTTCATAACTAGTGTCTCACAAGTTTCACGGTCATCTTGCAGCTTTTTCTAAACAATTTGATACGGAATTCAAGGAGTTTGGGCCCCTGTGTCTCTTTTTAGGGCTTTGGGGTAGACAGCTGTCTTCTTTTCTGAGGAGGGTTGGAGGAAAAGGAAGCAGTATATCTAATTTACAGCAGCTGTTCTTCCTAGCTCTCCTTAGAGTTAGGAAGGGTAACTCACTGGTTCTCCCTTCTCTGCAAGACTGGGAAGACATTCAATGTGTCTCTAAAGAATTGCTGTTTCACTTCAGAGACAGCATGAACTCAACGTTTGTATAACTGCATATGCTTCCACTGATACCTATCATCGACTCAGGTGTGACCCCTGAAAGCAAACCAGGTCTCCATTCTTTCTTCCTGTTGCATGTTACAGGTAAAAGGTGTCTGCTTTCCATGACTTTATTCTCTGAATGCTTAGTTCTAGAAAGCACAGGATTCAGGGAAGCATTGTGTAGATAGAAGAAAGCTTTGGTGTGTCTTGAAGCAATGACCCCAGGCGTTGAGTAAAAGTAGTCTTCTTTTCTACTTAGCTTTCTTGTATTGGCAGCTTCTTGCCATCCTGAATTTACCTCTTTACCTGCTGGGATCTCTGAACTTCTCTCTTTACTGCCTCTGCAGTCTCCGGAGCGTCTTCCTTCTTCAATAAGAGCATCCTCATCTGGGATTCTGTTTCTTCTCTTCAAAATGCTTCTGTGTTTTCTTATTAATGTTTCCTATTAGCAAGCAACAAAGCATCTTATGCAGTGAAAAATCATAAATGGTGGCAATCTCCTTCTTATGCTAGGGTTCTAAAACACTGAGAGCCAAGCCTACAATTGGTAAAAGCAAGGGTGCGTAGGTGTTGGGGCTCTCATGTGCATTCATTTTTTTCCTCCCAACTCCTTTTGGTCTCTTTGGCTTCATTTGCTTTCATGATAGCACACCTGCATCGTCGTAGGCTGATTAAAACAGAGAGACAAAGCCCAAAAGTTGTATATTCCAAACACAAAAACAGTGTCTTGCTTCATACAGCATATGACATTAATTAAAAACCATAACAAAGATAAGTGGTTGGGTTTGGAATTAACCAACCAGTTGCCGTAATGTCGTGGTGTGCTTAGTTACAGTTTGTTACTTCAAGACATTGCATTAGGTATCAGTGTGACTACAAAATGTATTGAAATTATCCAGTTTTATAAATGAAGAAAGGGTAACAATTGTGTCAATAGAAAGGTTGGTTTGGGGTCTGATTATTAGTGGTGATGACAATACATATCTTAAGCTTGACAAACGTCTGGGGATGAAGTTAGAATTTTTAATGCTAACTGTTTCAAAGTCTTGAAGCAATTCACAGATGTAAATTGTCCTCCCCAGGGACTGAGCAATATGTAATGGAATCAATTTAGAACTAGGGTTAATTCGTGTTTGTAACCTGGCAATTGGAGCTGGGAACAGGTGCAATGTTAAGGCAGGGAAATGTTGTACAAGAAATTTCTCCTCAGGCTCTGAAACTGTGACATTCATTAGCATATAAGGAGAAACTGAGTGGGTATGGTTTCAAAGGCGTTGTTTTTATATTGCTGTAGATGGGAATAATACTCAGCTTTACAGCCCACCTGACAAAGGGGTGAGTTTTCCATTAATTCTTTTGATTAGATGAGGGACACAGTGAATTTGAGT